TTTACTGCTTCAAATGACACAATCTCAATCTTCAGTTGAAAGTCTTTGTTTGAACAGCTAGCAGCTAATTGACCTTTAACTTGTGATGAGGGGTCATAACCAGCCAAGCCAAAAAGGTTAAGAACTGCTGCTAACGTCAACACAAGACACACTTAAATGTTACACAGTTTACTCCCTGTGACTGGCCTTGTGACTGTTAGGCAAAAAAACAAACAAACAACCGTATCATTCATTTGACCTAAGACCTAATAATAACCTATTATTATATTTACTTGGTAAGGACATCTACTGGACATGTGAACCCAGACTGTTAGGTATCAGGAGCAAAGGTAGAATCAAGGTGCTTTGACATGGAAAAACTGCTGTTCATTTTCCGTTCCTTACAATCAACATTAGTTTCTTTTTTAATTGTGACCACAGTTTCTCCTAAAATATATTCACAGTGGGTGCCAGGATAGCTCACCTGCTAGAGCCTGTGCCCCATGTATCAAGGCTGAGTCCTTGCTGCAGCGGTGATGGGTTCGAGTATGTAAATAATTTCCCCCTGGGATTATTAAAGTATTTCTGATTCAGATTCTGAGTCTGATTTGTATGTCATCCTCTCTCTCTTTTTCCCTTTCCTGTCAATCTTCAGCTGTCCTATCAAATAAAAGCAAAAAGCAGCAGTTGGTAAAGATCATGGTTTAGGTTAAAACAACTGCTTTGTTAAAGTAAAAGTACAGCCACGGTTGTGTAACCACCCACCACAGAGGACATAAAAGCCAGATGGCCAGCTCTATTTGAAGCATAATGTGAGTTATAAGTGTATGGTAATCGGAAACATTCCTTTGCAATTGTGAGGGGTCAACTATTTGATACAAAATATGCTAAGTTACTGTCATCTCATAAATCACGTTTTCAGGTATTTTCAAGATCAAATATGGTTTACTGGTTACATCATTTGTTTTTTAGATCCAGGATGAGTTTCACAGAATCACAACAGTGCACCTGGAATCAAAGTACATGTCCAAGCTGGATGAATACTCTCCCAGGCTTCTGAACCTCTTCCACTCAAAGGGTGGGGCCATGGGATTGAGGTTGCAGACTGTCCTACTGAACGTATCCCTAAATTTGGCCATATTATGTTTTATATTTATATTTATATTAAATCTGCAGGAGGAAATGTTAGCCTATGACTCTATAAAAATGTGTATTAAATAAGTGCATATCTTTTTAATGACAGCAGTTTGTATACACTTGGCCACCAAATTAGACACATTCTCAAAAATGTGACCATTCAATTAGCTCGTGCAAAATATTTTCATTTTTATACACTGATTATAAATAATGTGCTGTTTATGTGTTTTACATTACTCTGCTCTTCAGCACCAGCTGCCACTCACCCCTATTTTCTAGCTGCTTACATGTCAACATTTTGGGAAATAGCCTACTTTGGCAGTCTCTCTATGAGATAAAATAGAATGATATCGATATATTCTAATGTAAATTTGAAGGTACAACCAGCAGCATATCTTATCATAAAACATAGAAACAGGGAAGCAGCTAGTTTGTCTAAAGGTGACAAAACTCACCTACCAGCTCACCATAAGTTCAGTGATAAACACAACATTTAAAATGTTTATTTTCTTTTCCAGGACCAGTGACTAGCGTTAAAAACTGCACCATGACCTTGAGTAATATTAATTTATGTTATTTCAGGCTCCTAGCAATCCTACCATCAACATAACCAGAGACATTGTCATCCGGTGTCTGATGTTGTACCTCGGGGAATCTGCCAATCAGCTCTTTAAGGAGGATGTGTATGATGTAAGTTGAAATGCATCTCTCTCTCTCTCTCTCTCTCTCTCTCTCTCTCTCTCTCTCTCTCTCTCTCTCTCTCTCTCTCTCTTTATTTAGGACCATCTCCTTTAGCTGTACAGTCTAAAATACAAAATGTTCTTGTTATCTTAGGATGCAGATGAAGACAGTGTGGCACAGGATCTTGCTGTACAACAGATCAAAATCTACAGCATCCATTCAGAGGTTACAGAGGATGTCGGAATTGTGATAGACGGAACAAAGGTCCTGACTGCTCTGGGTAACTTTCCAAGGGCTTGTGCCATGCTCATTGGGTTGATGTATGCAGTGGACCTTGCCTATCCCAAGGAGCTCAGGTACACTTTTGAAGCTTTTCAGAAACTCTTCCTCGAACTGGATTGTTCAAAGCTGTCCCCAAAAGTGAACAGCCTCAAGAGCAAGCTACTGGCTTAGGAAAGAGACCCTAGATACACTGGAATTTTAAGTGTTCAAGTCTTGTTATGAAATGTAATGTTCTTGTTCTAAATATGTTATCCATACACACACACACACAAGCTTAACATACACATATACAGTACACATTCCGTATAAATGTGCATAGTGTATGTTATCATAAGCTGACCTCTAGAGAAATTGGCCGATAAGGCCTCAGCGCTGTTTCTTCATTCCCGCTGCATTTACAGTAACATGTCTTGTTATGAAATGTAATGTTCTTGTTCTAAATATGTTATCCATACCCATTTCACACACACACACACACACACACACACACACACACACACACACACACACACATAGTTGAACTCAATGTTAAAACGCAGAGAAATCTGTAATTTTATTGAACGTATTAGTGTGTTTTAAGTGTTCAATTGTTGGGTGGCACTACAGGAAAAGTCAGGGGATCACCATGACCATAAATATGTTTCATGACAATCAATCCAATAGCAGACCAACAGTGCCATCCCCAGAGCCACTTACTAGTGTGGCTAAAGTGTTATTACTGGTTCTGTTTACATTAATGTAGAATTTGATGAAAATGTATATTAGGTAAACGGGGTTTGATGCATGTTTGACTGGGTTGAGGAACTTGGCTAATCTCATATTCTGATTTGACATCATGCAGATGTTTTATTACTGTATGGAAACATGGAAAGACATTTTGTCTTTCACCGTCTGCATTAACAAGACATGGGTTCAGTTTGATGATGACAAAGCAGTATATAGACCATTCAGAATTCCTGTTAAGATTCAATTCATCATTCTTCATTCAGACAGTTTTGATTTCCTAAGCTGTCTGTGTGTGTATGTATATGTGTGTGTATATGTGTATATATATATACACACACATTATTAAAAAATGTTAAATGTATTTGTAAACAGTTGCACAAATAAATGTTTACCTGCTGTTCTCTTATATGGTAATTTGTTAACTGACCTTCAGTAAATTCTTGCAACATGAAGGCATGATATTAAGTAGATTCAACATAAAAAAATTATGGCAACAAAGTGACAATCAATAACATTAAATATATTTTAAGTAATGTGGTGCCAATTCTAAGTTGATTTGAACAATTAATTTATGAAAAGATAAATAAAAATTGCAGTTTAAATGTGTTGAATTAAGTAACATTGTTTCAAGTTATGAATTGATGCAACTTATTTTATTTATTGAATCCAAATCCTTCTTATCCTGATATTTAGAAAGATAGCATCAATTTCACACATAAAATTAGTAAATATAAATCAATATCATCCAGATAATTAGTAAATGTAAATTAAATCCACATAATTAATTAGTAAATCTAAATCACTTTTTTGCAGATATTTACTATATTTAAATTACTTTTTTTCAGATACCTAGTAAATATTAATCAGTTTTACCTGTAAAATTTATTTGGATTTACTCAACATTTGCCATATTCTTAGCAAATCCAAAATATTTCAACCAATGATTTCATTATTTTGTATTTAATAGTTTTGTTTAAATTTACTTAATCAAATCAATAGTTTTTAATCAAAGTTGAAGTTCTTAAAATCTATTCAATTATATTAAGTGTCACTTTGTTGCCACAATTTTTTTAAGTAGATAATGGTCAAACTTTTCTGAGTGTTGTGATGAGGGGTCATAACCAGCCAAGCCAAAAAGGTTAAGAACTGCTGCTAATGTCAACACAAGACACACTTAAATGTTACACAGTTTACTCCCTGTGACTGGCCTTGTGACTGTTAGGCAAAAAAACAAACAAACAACTGTATCATTCATTTGACCTAAGACCTAATAATAACCTAAATATATTCACAGTGGGTGCCAGGATAGCTCACCTGCTAGAGCCTGTGCCCCATGTATCAAGGCTGAGTCCTTGCTGCAGCGGTGATGGGTTCGAGTATGTAAATAATTTCCCCCTGGGATTATTAAAGTATTTCTGATTCAGATTCTGAGTCTGATTTGTGGCCCTTTCCTGCATGTCATCCTCTCTCTTTTTTTCCCTTTCCTGTCAATCTTCAGCTGTCCTATCAAATAAAAGCAAAAAGCAGCAGTTGGTAAAGATCATGGTTTAGGTTAAAACAACTGCTTTGTTAAAGTAAAAGTACAGCCACGGTTGTGTTTAAAAGAAACCAATGTTGACTGTCGGTTGGTAACACATTTTGTTGACCCATTTAACCGACTCCTTCTTCAGTGAAGCTCGAGGCTTTATAACAACGTCCCACTGCTTACTCCTTTGCTCCCAGCGACCGCTAGAAGGCTTTGTCACTTGAGCGTAAACATATGTCGTTTTCGGGCAAATGACTGACACTTATATTTTTCAGTCTCAGGTTCTCAATAGGTTGTTAGACTGTAAACGATGGAGAGTCCTTGTTCTGGTATTATCTTGTTAAAATGGGATAAATGTATAAATAAAATGTTCAAACCCTCCCTGTATGCTGAGGCTTCAGAGCAGTAGTTACAGTACCTTTTGCTAGATGAGTTCACAAATTGATTAACAGCTCCTGCTGAAACTCCCTGTGTCTCTCTCTCTCTCACTCTTTCTGTCTGGCCTGCAGCCTCGAGGGCTCTTTCTCTCACATGTTCAAGGTGGGCAGGGGTGGCCCATTAAAGGTTTCCCCAGGCGAACACAACTGCCCTGAGAGACCCGTTAATGCAGTGAGCTCCTTTAGGGTGACACGAGAATGAAATGGAGAAAGAATGAAACAAGGACAGTCAGTCAATATTAATAGATGTAATCACTTTATCATTCTTCAGAGAAAAGACTCCACATACTTCTCTCTGTACTGGACTCCAGTCAGGCCTGTAATGACTTTTCTCACTCAGTAACCTACATGCAACCACTGTAAATGGGAGACACAGTTTTAAAAATGTATTCAACCTCTGTTTTATTAATCGTCTTTGGTATGGTGACTGTTCTTACATACAGCTGGAGATGCCTACAGCTGATAGATGTCCTATGTAGGTTACAAGCCCATTACACAGCGAACACCATAAGGATGCACACACCTCCCCTCTGGAAACAATTACACAGTACACCGCACCATCTCTGTGTTTTCTCACTCCTGCACATCAGAATAAACACAGACACGAATATGTTATCATTGGTGCCTAACAGAGATAATACAAGTGTTAACTGCATACATTTTCAGTGAATTTGTAAATTAGGATTGTCTATTACTGCAGTTGTTGCACTAATCCATAATATGTGGTGTACTTAAAATGAAGAGTTTTTAGGAAATACTTCACTTTCTTGCAGAGATTCAATTAGAAGATCCATACCACTCTCAAGTCTTTACAGTAAATATGTAGCTGGAGTCAGAAGCCAGTTAAATTAGCATCAAGACTAGAAACGGGGGAAAAGTCTGTCTGCGGACATGGAATGTGTAAAGTATGTCCTAGCCTTAACTCCCTCAATAGGGTAAAAAAAAAACACTTACAAGCAACTCTACAGCTCACTTATTGCATCAACTCGCCATCTTACTATTTCTCAGTAACACTAACCTCCTAGAGTCTCTGCTGATTGGCTGGTAACTGCTCAAAAAATAGTCTGGCACGAAACCCTTCGTAACACAGTACACTGTGATACTTCGGCTTTTGTTTTAATTAAAGAAACAAGGTATCACATGTAATTAGTGAACTGTAGAGATGCTTATAGACAGATTTTGTTACCTTCATACAGAAACAGGATGGCCACTTTTCCCTGTTTCCCTTCTCTATGTTCAGCAAAGCTAACTGCTGCTTCATAATTAACTTACAGTTCTCACATCTATAGTTGGAATTATGCATCTTGATACATGTAAACATCTTTGTGAACCTATGCAGAGAAGGGTGCTATGGTCGACACGTACTGTAGCCAACTGCGTGTTAAACAGGCTGATTAGTTCATTCAACCCTGTCAGGAGGCGGGTTCAAAACATAGATGAACACAAAGGTAATCATACAACAATAATGTGAAATTATTGCTTTAAATGTGAAGCTACAGCTACCTAGAAGCATGCTAGCTGGTGGGCTCTGTTTCTACTCTTTGTGCCAAGCTATAAGCTAACCTGCTGTTGGCTTTAGCTACATACAAGGCCTACTTAACCGGACAGATGAGAGTGGCATCAATCCTCTCATATAACTCTCAGCATAAAAAAATATTTTTTTTTCCCCCAAAAGAATTTTTTTTTAAAATCGTGTAACAGTAATGTAATCACAACCATCAACAAAATATGTGCCGCTCCGGATGGAATCATAATCCTTGTTGGCTCCATTAAGGCTTGTGGCTGCTTGAGGTTGTAACACACGCGTTCATATTTAACACCAACAAGGAAGTCTCATTAAACAAAAACGAACAGATGTTAATCTGCACAAAGTTCATCACAGAGCATAAGCATATGAGACTGCGGACCTCCAGCTATAATTGTGTAGTCTCTGTTCCTGCCTCGGCCTCACTGCATGGACAATAATCTTGTGTTTTTGTGGCTTGTCACTGTAAAAGCTTCTGTGTTCTCACTGGTCAGGGCATCTTTCACAGGAACAACCTTTACAAATTATTCATGTTTGTTTCTTTCAGGAGAGAGAGGGGGGAAACAGAGTGCACCGTGCATTCACCAAGATGCACAGCTGACGGGTGCTAATGTGAGTGAGTTACATAATCCCATTTCTAGAGATTCAGAGAAATCCTGACCTGTGGTAACTCTGTGTCCATGGTGGCTTGAGTGGAAGGCTCACGGCAAAAATGTCCATCTTCACTGGTAAATCTAAATGTTAGTGTTTTTCAAGTAAAACGGGTGAGATATTTTGTTTGCTGTTATGTTTCATCTGAGGATTCTCTTGAAATTCACTTCAGCAATGTTAATTTAATGGTTTATGATCCTTGTACAACTACAAATTTTAATCTAACACTGAGACTGAACAATAAATTAGTGTCAGCTTCATTTAAGACTCTGACCATCAGGTGTCTGCCTTGTTAGTTATTTATGGCTGTATTTTGATTACCTGATTAAACTATATCATTGTAAAAACACAGTCAATTGAAGTCTTAATCTTGTTGTGGGCTCACTTTATTTACCCACATCTGGACCGGTCTATATTTGTCCTGATAAGGAAAAGGAGAGGTAGTCCTCACATTCAGTTTCACAATGTAACATTTCAGCCTACAAAGTCTTTGTTGGGTAAACATCCATGTGAACAAAAATAAAGATATAAACTCCACAATCATCCCCCAAAATTTACAATGAAAATACAATTTACTACTAAAGAAAGGAGAAAATTACAAAAAATTGAATAAAAACATGAATAATAGGTGTAATTTTGTGTCATGTGACGATGTCATTTTTAGATGTAGGCTTCTTTTTGTTCACATGGATGTTTGACTGACTTTGGTTCTTTTTTTCCCCCTGCCCCTGTACTACATCTGGGGTTGGATGTGCAAACTCTCTAACTTCTTTGCCTGCCTGCTCCCTGACCCTGCACATGGGATTTCATCATTGTTGTCACTTATATTGGAATCTGCGTCAGTCTGTCTCTGTCGTTACTTTCCTCGGTGTCCGTCACCGGCTCCGAGGTTGTCCCTCTGTGATACAACACGGTCACCGTTGTGTTCCCGCTGTCCTCACTGCCCCCAGTCTTCCGGGCACAGGAGACGCTCAGCTTCGCCTTCAGCGGGCTCTCCTGCTTCAGGTGTCCGGCCTCGTTGCTCGCCATCACGGTCTCCACCGCGGCACTCACCGCGGCGCAGCAGCGTCGTCCGCGGCAGCGCAGCAGGCGCAGGAAGGCGTCTCTGAAGTCCGCGTTGAGCGCATAGATAACCGGGTTGAGGGACGAATTGCTCCAGCCGATCCACACGAAGACGTCGAAGGTTTTTTCACTGACACAGTAAGGGCCCCTCTGTGCCCCTGTGGCCTCTGGTCCGGGACAGAAGGGCAGAGCGCAGTTCAGGACGAAGAACGGCAACCAGCAGCAGACAAATACACCCATGATGATGCTCAGAGTTTTGAGGACTTTCGTCTCTTTCCTGATGGAGACTTTGAGCTCCCGATTAGAGCGCTCAGGATTAAGACGGATATGAGACGTATAAGAGTTGGCACTGATTTCCGTACACAGGTGAGGGAACTGTTCATGTGCGTCCGAGCGGCAACTCTGCGCGTGCTCCGCCGCCCGCTCCAAGGAGGATATCATCCGGATCTGCATCTGGGCTATCTGGTAGATGCGGGTGTACGTGACAATCATGATGGCCACAGGGATGTAGAAGCTGATGAGGGAGGAGGAGATGGCGTACGTGCGGCTCAGGCTGGAGTCGCAGCTCCCATCGACACTCTTACCGTGAAGTGCCAAATCCTCCACAGCCGGATCACCGATCTCCGCCCGGTGCCAGTTCAACTGCACGGGAACGAAGGAGATGACCACGGAGACTGTCCAGGTCACGCCGATCATAACAGAGGCCACCTTCTTGTTCATACTCCTCTCATAGCGGAAAGGGCTGGAGATGGCCCAGTATCGGTCCACACTAATGACGCACAGGTTGAGGATGGAGGCCGTGGAGCACATGATGTCGCAGGCCAGCCAGGTCTCGCAGTACCCTCCAAACGGCCAGAAACCCGCCACCTCAGCCACAGCTTTCCACGGCATCACCAGTACGGCGACCAGGAGGTCCGACAGAGCCAGGGACACGATGAAGATGTTGGTTACTTTGGCGCGCAGGTGCCGGTAGCGAAAAACGGCTGCGCACACCGTAAAGTTGCCCAAAAGCGTCCAAATGATAAGCAGCGCCAGGACGCAGCCCGTTAGAGCTCGATGCGCCGGTAACTCCTCCCGGCTGCCAACCAGTGCCAAGCCGGTTGTGTTATTCATCATCTGGTGCTGCGCTTGCCCAACTACAAGGACAAGAACGCCATCCATTCGTACCATAAACAGGGAAAAAAGCACTCAGCGCGCGTCCTGCTCCAGTAGGACTGATCTGTACTGCTGCTCTGAGCGCAGAACAGATTTACTGGGGACCACATGCACCACCTGGTCCTCACTGCTGACAGCACAGCGCAGAGACGCGCAGGGCTGAGAGAAGTCTGAGAAAAGAAAATCATGTCAAGCCATTTTTATTTATCTATGTGTTTATTTTTTTGCATTCAGCATTACTGTTTTGTCGTTGTTTTTTTACAATGTTTTATCCCATTTCTCCTAATTCCAACTCAACAGGCGTGACAACAGTGGTTTTGTCATTTAGGACTGAGTTGCTTGAGTGAGTGCTGTTAACATCAGTGAACAATTATGAGTATTTTGTATTAATACAGCACCTTTTGGCAAAAAAAAAAAAAAGTGCTTTACATTTCAGATATATGGTTAAATAAAATCAGGCACACAAAAGCACTGAACATTAAATAACGCAAGATTTAAAAAAAAAAGAAAAGGGTGAAATAAACAAATAAAACACATAATACATATTTTGAACTTGAGTGTAATAAAAGCTAACACTGAAGAGAAGAATAAGATGAAACAAGGCAGTTGAAACCAAAAGTAGATATAAATGTCATACATGTTGAGAAAAAGAGAGCAATTTCTGCAGTTCATCCTCATTATTATCACAATTCATTTTGTTGGAGGTCAAAAGCTACCTCCTCCATACACTGTGTTTGTTACAGTCTTTGTTTCTTCATCAAGACTACTGACAGATGTATTTAGGTGTTTGCATTTACTTCACATTCTTCTACAAGAGTAAATAAACCAGACTACACCTAACATGTGTTTGGGGGGGGGACAGGCCTGATGTCATCTTTTATTTTTAATTAAAAAAAATTTAAAAAGCTCTGCATTTGCAAATATGTTAGATCTATTTAAAATTTCACAAAGGTTTATAACAGAAAAGTTGTCTCCACATTATTGTGCTCTGTGTTGTCTTGGATGTCTTTCTGCCCTCTTAAGAAGCCTCCACGTCATCATTTTCCTCACAGGTTTCCAGCAGACAGGTTTCAACCAAGGTTCTCATCACATTATAAGGGTCACAGTTGGCAGCAGGACGTCTGTCCTCAAAGTATCCGCAGCCCCTCCGACTTACATGGCCAGGGATGCGCACACTCACATTACGACAGGATGTGGCCGTAGAGAACACATGGAAACTGGAGGTAGAAGATGATTGACTGGTTAGGCGACTCATGTTGTCAGCGCCACCGTGTGGATCATAGACACGGAGGTGCTGAGAGTGACGCCTGCTCAGCCTTCTGATTGCTTCTTCAATGTACCTGTAATGTCACAGAGAACAGATTTATGCTTCTATTTCGAAATGCCTATTTCCTGTGCACCAAAATCAGAGGATGTGTGTATTTTGTGTCTGTGTGAGACTCAGTGGTCTGAACTTACTGAAGTCCCCCTTCACTCCTCATCTCCTTGGTGCTGAAATTGATGTGACAGCCTGATGTATCAAGTTTGTCCTCGATGGGTTTAACGTCCAAGGAGGCAACAACTCCAAAGTCTTCACATACGCGATGCAGGATGTAGCGAGCAGTCCACAGATGATCCCCCATTTCAGTCCCCTCACATGGGCCGACCTGGAACTCCCACTAATCAGACAAAGACACCAATCACAGGAAGAGAAGGAGACATCTTATAACCACAATGTCTTGTACTCCTGAAACTGGTAGTGTGTCCAACCAAATGACCATGTGTAGGTTGTGTGAAATCTTGAGGGAATTGTCAGCTTGTATAGTGGATACAGACAGGAAATATAGGGAAATTATATGCAACAAAAGACCCCAGCTGAAATACAACCAGTGCTTGTATTTTTTACATTAACCAGACACTCAAGTGATTTTGTCATCCCCCTTGCTCTTATTGTCTGTCTTCTTATGTCAACTATCAAATAAAGGCGCTTGTAGACATAATATAAATTAAATATAAATAATAGTAATACACAAAATCAGGCATTAAACCATATTATCTCATGATAATATACATTCTCAACTTATTACATTATGTTATCATTACTTGTTTTAACCTGATGGGAGAGCTTTAGTTTAAAGCTGCTTTCAATTACTTTCGAGAGTTGCAGTGGAGCAGCTGGAGGACAAACTAGAAAACATTTTCTCCATAAAATATGATCCACTTTCACCAAAATGTGTATAACTGTTTTTGGTGTGTAAAGCATCAAAGCCAAAAGTTACAAAGTGTACAGGCATACAGGGCCCAGAGTGAGAATGACAGAGGGACAATTCACGCTATTCCAACTCAGTGTAGCATCAAAATGATTTGGAAGTTGTTATTTTAAGGTAGAAAAGTTACATAATGTCAGTTTAAAGACACTATAAACCTAATTAGAGCAGAAAGGAACTGCAGAGTGGGCTTCTCTTTGGGTGCATTATCACAATCAAATTTGACCCAATTGTTCTTTAAAAAAAATACTTTTTAGTGCAGCTTTAATCTTGATTAGGCTCAATATTATTTCCCACAGGTGAGTTTATCTAATTCCCATGAATTAGCTAATCAAATGTAGTGAAATAGGTTTTAGAATTTGGTAATAAAATAAACAGCGGTTCATACCTGGGAGGGTAATGATTCTGCATTGGTGCCACAGATCTTCACACCAGCATACAGACAGGCTTTGTAGTGACAGATACAAATGTCTCTTCCATACACTTGGTTAATGCCCACAGCACAATTCACTGAGAATAAAAACAACACAAGATGAGATCTGGTGAGAAAACTGCTGAAATTGAAGAGCACTGTCACTATATTTGTCACTGCAAATATTACATCACAAAATAAATAGAACATTTCTTCATAACACTTTCAATACGAGGCATGTTTTTCTAGTTCAGTCCAACATTCTCATATCCATTGTTAATCCCACCTCTTGTAAAGGGGCTTCCCTGAGGAGCCCAACCAAAGGGCCGTCCATCCAAACCAAACAGGATGTACTCCTGTTCCATCCCGAACCAGGGCTCAAATTCTCTAACTTCCTCCATGACTTTAGCACACTGTGAACGTTGATTACTTCCTGTGTGGAGAAAATAAAATCAGTAGGTGCAGCACACCAAGGCTCAGAGTTGGCTGTATATACATGTAGCTGACACTTTGGAGTTCTTATGTTGTAGTATGTTACCCATGGGCACACGGTTGCTGTCAAGCACTTCACACAAAACCAGTTTATCTGGGTCAAGAGTGAAGGGATCTCGAAACATTCTGACCGGGACCAAAGTGACTTCAATTAAATTCCCATCCATCCAGCTAGCACTCCATTCTGGTATATCTGTCAGGGGACGGACATTTTGAAAGTAGCAGTTAACACATGGTCAGTAGGAACAGAAACATATCAGGCACAATATTTATATTTTATATGTTATAGAAAGACATCAACAATGCTACTTAAAGCTCTTTAAAAATAACAACAGGAACTACAAAGTGAAGCTTTTAGAGTCACTTCTTATACTATACCTCTGATTCCAGTTGGTTCTTTGTTCAGAGTCCTGGTTTTACATTGTAGATTTTCTCCAGAATAATCGATCCAGATGTACGTCACCTGGCACTCTGCACCTTTAGCCAGGGACAGATAGTGTTTCTTTACTGTCTTATGAAGAATGAGGCTTTCCAACAGGAAAGACATGATGATTTTCTCTTTCTTCAAGGACAGGCTTTTGTGAATTAGCACTTCTGCTTCCACTAAAAATATCTGTTCATTATACAGCGTGGTTCCTCCTAAAATATTTGGATATATTCAAGAGAGTTAGATATTCATGGAGTCATGTATTTAAATAGGGTAAAATATTTTATTTTTTATTTTTTTAAAACGCTGGGATGAAAATGTACCCAGTGTGCTGTCAGTGTAACACTGCTGCAATACTGGATTAATTTAACACAGTACCAACGGGGTGTTTTGATCCAGTGTTGGTGGCATTTTTATATTGCTGTTGGGTTACTGGATCAAAACAACCCTGTTGTTGGGTATTTTTACCCCCAAACTGTGTCAGTTCTAACCCAGTTTTTTAGTATATTTTCAGTTTAAATTGCCATCCCATCTGTTGTAATCTCAAATCTAAAAGAGGCTATGATTTAATAAAATCATATGACAACAATGAGACTAATGTGATAATGTCAATTTCTCATAGTGATGCATCTGCAGAGAATAACTATAATAACTTTAAAGAGACTTTCAGTTCATTGTTTAAATGTCCGAACCGCAACTCTACTGTTTTGGTTCACTGTCACTGCTTTAATAGAACCGTTTTACACTTCATTGGGCAGCTGTTTTCAGTGAAAAAGCTCTAAAAAACCCCATTGTACACCACCTGCTCACCACCAAATAGCAGACACAGTAAGCCACTATTTGGTGAACACAGTAAAGTATTTAGCAGCTAAAGAGACACATTCCTCTCAGGAGTTGTTAGACAAAAAGATTGTGCTAAAATAGTTTGAATAGTGTAATATCATGTTGCTCCATAGCTGCTGTATGTGTAAAACAAGTTCATAATACCTTAAAAGGTCATGATATGTCAGTGCTGTGTTCACAACTCTGCTGCCCCCAAGTGGTAAAAAAAAAGTATGTTATTGCAGGTTTAAATGTATAGAATGACCTTTTGTCATTGTCATTGTTTGTCAGGGGGTTAGATGAGAAGATACCACTTTCATGTCTGTATGGTAAATATGAAGCTACAGCCAGCAGACACTAAGCTACTGGTCACGAAGACTGGAAACAGGAAAAAGATCTAGCCTGGATCTGTCTAAAGGAAACAAAATAAGCCATAAATCAGCACTTATAAAAAGACAACAAATTAACACATTACATGATTCACCAGACAGAAGTGAGAGTGGTATCAGTCTTCTCATCTAACTCTCAGCAAGAATGAGAATAAGCATTTTCCCCTAAAATGACAAACTATTCCTTTAATTTTAAATTTTATTCACAGTGTATTGTAATAGCATTGTATTGCTCCTCCTCTACCTGCTACCTTTAGGCTGTATTGTTCAGACTACGTACTGCTACAGTGCACTCTAAATTTAATACCTCTCTCACACACAAACACACACATACATACACACACACACACACACACACACACACACACACACACACACACACACACACACACACACAAATAAAATAAACATGCTGCTGTGGATAAAAGCTGACTTTCTGGCCGGGGACAGAACCAGATGGCACAGCTGAAGTTGGAGCATCGGTAAGGAACACTTAAATAGCACTCAAGCAATATTTGATCTTTATTAATGGCAACAGGGTGTTTGAATACAGATTTAGAGGATGGAGACAGTAGCAGACAGTCCGAAGCAGAGGGCGGGGAGCTGATAATCAGATTATCTCCATCATTTTCGAGAGTTTGTACTATTTTTGTGCATTTGCTGATTTAGGACACACTGGAATTACATCCATTTGTTGAAATGAAATTGCTTTCACATGGGCATGGATGTCCTCTCCTTTCCTGACTGTGAGTTAATGGCTGAATCTAATAATAATAATTCAAAAGTCACAACATATACATTCATGAATACCATAATCACTAGTTAGCAGTCATAAAGTAGTTAAGGTCACAGCCCACATATGCATGAAAAAGATGCAACCCCAGACTGGTGTCTAATGTTGTCAAATTTAACACGTAAATTTAGATAAAAAAAAAAATAAAAAAAACCTGTTAGAAATGGAAATTAACACATATAATCCAATTATCTGTTAATCGGTTCAACATGGCGGAGTCCATGCAAGGAGGTGTCTGTAGATAAACACAACAATTCCTATTTTCAGGTGATTATTCACTAATGAAAACATACCTATGAATATTATATTAAATTTTTGCCAATAGATCTTCCTAAATGTTACACACTGGACCTTTAAAGTCTCCATGCCACCAGATCCACCAATGGTTATAATGAGCATATTCGTCCTGATGTGTGACAATAAATAAACTGTAGAAATCTGCTGTTACTGTATACAGCAGGGAGTTCCAACACTCTCTAAAGCTGCGTTCAGCCCCACTAGTCCCATTTCCTGCATATATCCGGTCACAGTTGTCACTGAGCTCTGTCTCTGTTCAGGCCTCTTCTTGATCATCTCGTTGCACAGCTCTGAACACTTGCTGTCGCGCTGCTTTTTCAATGTAGACATTTCTTTGTCACACCTTTCCCTCTCCCTTTGCAGTTTTTCCTCCAGCTGTCTCTTGAGGTTTTCTTCGCTCTTTTTTTGCTGCTCAATTTTCATTTGAATGAGCTTTAGCTCCTGCTTAAGGGCTGCGGTTCTCCTTTTCTCCGCTCTCTGATTCTCCATCTGTATGTCTATTTCTCTCTGGTTCTCGTCCCTCTCACGCCTGAGCAGGTCCTCCATTTGCTTTTTCCTATCCTCCTCCTTCCTGCTCTGCTCCTCCAAGCTCTGGGCGAGTTTCCCCAGCTCTTTCTGCAAAGCCTCTCTCTTCTTCTCTTCCCTCTGCCTTATGGCCTGCTCTTTCTGTATTTGCTGAAGTTCCCTCTCTCTCTCTTTCATTTCATTTTCCGCTCTCTCCTTTTGGATTTTCTCCTCCATGGCTCTTCTTATTTTCTCTTCCTGCTCAGCTTGCTCTTCCAGCATTTTAGTAACTTTTTCAAGCCTTTCTTGGAGAGCTTCCCTCCTTTCCTCCTCCTCTCTCCGTATCCCCATCACTCTCAGCATCTCTTGTATCTTCCTCTCCTTCTCCTTCTTTTCATTCTCCTCCATCCTTAGTCTGAAGGCTTCTTCCCGATCTCTTGCCAGTTTCTGCTCCTTCTCCTTCTCCAGCTGCTGTTTTTTTTGCAGCTCCTCCATCTCCCTTTTGCTTTTTTGCTGAACTATCTCTAGGTCTTTTTCATATGACTCTTTTATTGCTGCCTCTTGTTTCTTTTTTAACAGCTCCTCCTTCTCGTCCAGCAGCTTCCTCTCCTCCTGCAGCTCCTGAGCCAGATCCTCCTCAGCTTTCTGGAGCATCTTGCTGCCGTAGCAGATTCCTCCGTTTTCCAGCATTATGGTGTCCACTAAGGCAAGCAGCTCAGACACCTGCTCCTTATTCTTGGAGCTCTGGTTGTTGAAGACACAGTACCTGCCCCCACATCCGGCCACCAGTTGGGCCAGATCCTTGCACTCGTCTATCAGACAATGCTTCACGGATTGCCCTTCTTCCAGAAGGTCTCCATGGGTAAAAACCACCACTGAGAAACTCAAAGCATGGGAACCCATTGCCTGTTTGATCTGCCGCAGCGCCGCCTTCTCCTCCTGAGTAAACCTCCCAATCTGAATAACAAGAAGGAACACATGGGGCCCGGGATACAGGACGCTAACACTCCTCCTTAACTCACTCTGTACCTCCTGTGGGGTCTGATGAGTGTCCAGCAACCCCGGAGTGTCCAGGATCGTCAGGTGGCGTCCACGAAATTCTCCACAGGCCCTGCGACAATGCTGGGTGACAGAGGAGCTGCTAATCTTTGAGTTGAAGACCTTACGGGCCAAGATGGAGTTGGCGGTGGAGCTTTTCCCGCTGCCAGTCCTCCCCAGCAAAACCAGTCTGATCTCAGCAGAGGAGGAGGATGGCTTCCTGCCTGAAAAGACAAAAAATGAGAAAAGTTATGTTCAAACAAAAGAAAGATAAAGACAGACAGAAAGAAAGAAACATAAACCCAGACTTACCTGCAAAGCTGATGGAAGACAGCTGCTTGCTAATGGATGACATACTATCTCTGGTCTCTTGCCTCCATAAATTGTGAACAAAAAAGAACAGCACATCACTATATAGATGCCCAAACTGTGGGAGTGTCCTTCCCTGTGACATGTAAAACCCCTCTGAACTCTAACCATTGCCATCACCATGTTTCTAATGTCAGTCTGGAAAAAGTGTGGCCCAATAGTCTGTCTCTGAATCACTCAGACCAGGAGATCCTATCTCAGATTATACACACTCCAGCAAGAGGTCATGGTCCAGCTGAGGCAAAGATACGGGAAGTAGGCTGAGATACTGTATGTATTAGGTTTGTGAATAAGTTAATGTGATCAAAGTCCAACAGACGAGTCATGGTTGGGTCTCTTTATCTTAAAGGTTTACTGATTGGTAGTCGTTTAGGAACCACCAGAGATCAATAAACTAGGCACTCTCCTGTCTGTTGAGGTCTTTTATATAGATTTGACAAGCTGCCTGGTAAACAAGACTATGAGCCTACAGTCATGTTAGCGGCTCAGTGAGGCTTTACTTTGGCACTGTGGTGCTTTAAGCTAAACACTAATGTCACCATGCTCACATAACAATGCTATTATGCTGATGTATAGCAGGTATTATGTTCACCAACTCAGTTTGCCAGCATGCTAACAATTGCTAAATAGCACTAAACACAAAGTACAGCTGAGGTGGCTGTGGATGTCATTAGTTCTGCATGTATGTAGTGATAAGTGTTGGATAAATTGACTTTTTTTGACCTCATGATAGTGCTAGATAGTCAGAGCATTACCAAAGTCATTAAAGTTCCTTCTGAGGGGGACATGAAACAAACAAAATACAAAATGTCTTCACAATCCATCCAGTAGTAGATACTTCAGTCTGGACTAAAGTGATGGACAGACCAACATCCACTAACATGGCTATAAATGTATCCAATTACATACACCTTGTTGGGACTAGATCTCCAGAAGAGGGGACAGTGTAAAATTAATGTATTCTTTCGTGTTACTCTAATGTGGTGATCAACATTTAAACTTAAACACTTAAACACTTAAACACTTAAACTGTGAGTTGCGACAGAGGCCTACATCTACAAACCCCACTAGACGGAAGCAGAGCTCAGTGTGTCTGACAAATTTCACAATACCAGCACTAGCTTATTTAACATGATTTGGAATTAAAGGCACTAGACCCTATTCTATTTTAAATCAAATTAACATCGCTCAATCTCATAATGCTCATATTTATCCTCCTTTTTTGCTGCATCAGTCACTTTCAAATCTAGAATAAGAAGGTTCACTTGTGGGGGAACTAATGTCATACTGATTTATTGATTTTATTGAAGGGTTGTTTCCTAACTAAATGATAGTAATATAATAAAGCAAATGTTGTCCTGTAGATTATGTATCCTTAAAATCAGCTCTTAATAATGTGCTCTTTCTTTCTTTATCTATTCTTTAAACTCTTGTACTGTTGCCCCTTAAAGCCCATTGAAAGGATCTGCTAATACTTCTGTTTCTAAATAAATGTACTTACATGTTAACTTTGTTATGCATGGAGTTTATCCATTCTGTCATTCAGACAGTAACTCAATCCTTTATTACAGCCAATCTGCCCTCTAGAGGCTCTTGGAAACTAAACCAGGTTCATTCACTCGCCTGCCTGTTGTTGTCCTGCTGATCTGTGCGCTTCAGGTCTGTGATAGCTTATATGATTGCAGTGATTACATATATTTCAGTCTCCCTGAAAATATACAGGTGAAGAGAAATTACCATATATGCAATGCTTTTACAGAAAACATATGAAGCAATGAAAAGAGATTTTAAATGCAAAAAAAAAAAAAGCCAAAACAGAAATGGACGGTTTTGTAAAATGTATACATACACCATGCATAACAAATTAGACTTGTACCATAATGTAAACTGCTAGGACAGTGAGTAAAACCACAGTTAATAACAAGATATCATTATTTTTTTACTGGACCAATGAGCAAAGTGTAAGTTAGTCGAAAGGTACAGTGCATCCACATGCTCTGGAGGTAGGCTTCAACGTCTGAATATTGTGTTCAGAAGTGAGGGATCTTTGTAAGGTTTTCACAACTTATTCACAACTTATGTAAACCAATTTTTTAACATCTAGACTAGAAAACACCAGTTTTGCCTGGTTTGTATAAAGAAGGACATGGCATTTGCCCTGTTTTTGATCATTCTGCTCATGCTCTCCATTGTAACTGACTCTGGAAAACAGCATCGTCTGGTTGCCCAAAACCTGAAGTAAGTAATGTAATGCCTATGGCTGGATGTCTGGCTGTTTGCTCATCAATAATGGACAGTCCATGCATGTTCAAGGCGAGGCCTAGATTGTCTTACCGCTCTACTGCTCCGTCACACGTGCAAGCACACCTGACGTTAACTAACCCAGAGGCAGTGATGAGTTTCTGGGCCTGTGCGGTTAAATGGATGATTTGAGTGCATCGTCCTCTGTATGTCAAAACAAACAACAATGAACCTACACAACGACACATACACACACACACACACACACACACACACACACACACACACACACACACACAAACAATACAGACATGTCACATACAATTTCTCAACAACAGCTTTGATTTATGTGGTGTTGCGTCAAAGTAAAAAAATTGGTGACTCTTGAGTAACACTGAGGTCCAGCAGTGACAGAAGATGAATGTTATCATCATGGTAAAAAGAGGATGGGGGGAGGCTGTCAGGACGCCTTGGCGATGATGAGGATGCTCATGAGGAAGACCATGACGAAGAAGATCCACATGAAAAACCTATCCATCACCTTGGCAACCTTCTTCCACTCTGCTGCCTTGACGCAAGTAGCTCTCTGCTCGCGGAAGCAGTTGGCGATGAACTGGATGTTCTTCACCACCTGGGGAAGAGACGGATGGATGAGCTTAAGCAAGCACTTAAAGAAACTGTAGAAGAAGAGGAGTAATCAGATAAGAAGGCAGAGAAACGGCGTGCTGTGGGGATCCACCTGTTTATGTTGGGGGCAGGGGCAGCAGCAAGGGCAGGCAGGGACTTGAAGTTTCTCTGTGGGATAGAGGAGTTGCTCCTTCAGCCCTCCATTCAGATGCTGGAGGTGTTGTGGATGAGGAGGGGCCTGGTAGTCCAGCTCATCCCTCCTGATGTGGTGGTAGCGCTGGGTAGGATCTCGTTTCCCCTCACCCCTCTCCAGTCTGGAAGCGTGGTTGTTGTGGTTGTTGTAATGGTGACGGCCGCTGTTGGCATTGCCGTTCGGCTGACTTTTCTGATGCTTGTTATGATGATGCACACCATGACCGTTGCTGTACTTGTACGGGTGGCTGTCATTGTGGTAGTCGTGGAAACGGTCATCAAGGTATGTGCTCTTGTCGTTCATGGGTTCCTCTGGGTACAGTGGGGTCCTCTCACTCTCCGGCGTAGTGCAGTTCTCCCCCACCTCGTAGACGAAGAAGATTTTGGACATGTAGTCTATGATGAGCACCTTCGCCCAGTGAGGGACCGGCTTGGCCTCAGCACCACAGAAATGAATGTTCATGATGAAGATGGTGAGAGAGGTGGAGGCTGTGATCATAGTCATGGTGGCTATGTAGTACTTCCCTAGAGAAGAGGACCAAGAAAAGGACAGATTTATGGCTGGAAACATAATTGGTTGACAACGAGGTTAAACATTTATATAGTTCATCAGAAATAATCTGGAAAGACACTCCATGTAAATCTGTAGCCTCAGATATATCTTGATACATAGACATATAAACCTATTTAATAGACAATTATGAGACGTGTATTTAAAATTTAGACTGTGGTGGAGAAAGTTTTCTTTTACTTGAGTAAAATAACTAATGCCACACTGGAAAAATTAGTCCTGCATCAAAAAAGTTACTGAAGTAAGTATTTAAGAAAAATCAGAAAAATGTACTTCAAGTATTAAAAGTAAAGGTACTTCATACAGAAGAATGGCTCCTGTGACTGTTACGCTAATATATATTATATACTATCCAATAGCTTATTATTACTGATGCATTTATCTAAAAGTAGGATTTTAAATTTGATTTGTAATTGGTTACGGTGGAGCAAATTTTTTATGATTTTGTATAAGATGAATGGAGAAAAAAATTGATTCATCGGCTGATTATTTTCTGGATTAATTAATAGATTTGTTTGTAAAATATTGAGAAATGCCATCACATGATCCTCAGATTACAGAAAAGTACACCTTCAGATATTAAAACATGGATGGAATCTATGTTAGAAATAGTATGATATGAATGCATGATAGCAAGAGTCAAAGGCTGCTTTTTTGCTCATAGTGTTGCTGATACACTGTGATCATTTGGTTGTTCAGCTATGACTGTATTTATTTTGGCTATTCTGGATATGAGCATTTGTCAAGGGCCTTTCGATGACTAGAGTAATATCTCTAGTTGAGTACGGTCTGTCTCTAAATAAATAAAAACTTGAATTCAAAAAAAAAGAAATGCCGTCACAATTACTCAAAGCCCAACAACTTTCCAACAACTAGACCAAACCTCAAAATTATTCAAAATAAATCAAAGTTGAATAATTAAAAGGAAAATCAGACGATCCTAACATGAGTGACATTCAGCTGTACTTGTATTGTTGGGTAATTTAAGTTATGACAAGACATCACATTTTTTATAAGCCTTTTGTAAGTTTTGTGTGCAAGAATTTTAATTTGTAAAGTAACTTGTAACTAAAGCTGTTAAATAAGTGTACTACAATATTTCTCTCAAATGTAGTGGAATAGAATTAGAGTTAGATAAGTTACATGAAATGAAAATACTCACTCACATACTAAAGTTCAAGTACCTCAAATTCAGTATAAGTAAAGTATCAAATAAATGTATTTAGTTACATTTCCACCAGAGTTTGCAAAGTCAAATCTACAAGATACTAAGTTAGAATCTTGACTTGCTATAAATATCTTTATTTCCATTATCCATAACTTTTCATCCCCTTTATTTTCTTCCTGTGGAAATGGGCCTCCATAGTTTAAGTAGTTCAACAATGAGGCTGAATGCCAAGAATAATTCAAACCTATATAGGGCATGCTCTCTGCAGGAGGCATGCTCTCAGCCACCAACAACTGGAACACAGTGAGCGCCAACAGCACCGTGACCCCGAGGGAAACCTTCTCCCCTGAGTCTGCCGGCAGGTAGAAGCCCAGCGGTGCCAGGAACGAAATGAGGAAGCAGGGCAGGAGCAAGTTGAAGATGTAGAAAGAGGAGCGGCGCTTCAGATGCAGGGTGTAGGTGATTTCGGTGTACGGGTCAGAGCAGCAGCCGTACATCATGACGTTTCTAACCGCCGGCATGCCATGACACTCCCACTCAACGTTATCCACAAAGTCAGACAGGTCACCGCTGTCCATGCCCAAACTGATGTCCACCTGGGTAGAGGACGCACATGAACACAGTGGAAGATGAACCACTTTTTATGTGTAATTACCCATACATACAGTTCAAAAACAAGAGTTTATGGACAAGTAAGTTATTCATTCTCTATTTTCCTGTCAAGGTCAGAGGAACTGGAGACAATAACAGATTATAGTATGCATTGTAGTGATTACCAGATATACAGACACTATACCTACTGTATAAACAATTTGGAGCAACATGGAATGTAAATCACACAAAAAACTTGCTCACTCCACTCGTCCTGTTTGCCTTTTTGCTTCTTAAAGGTCTGTGTGAAGGATTTAGTGGCATCTAGCGGTATAGTGGAAGATCTTAACTTCCTAAAGTAACTTACTAACTCGGCAACAAATATCATCATGAAACAATGAGCTGACACTCTCCATAAAGTCAAGAGGAGCTGCAGATTCAGGTGATAATTCTCTGAACCATTTACTAATATTTAGGTGAGTGTTTCAAGTATACTGAGCACGCAGATGGACAGCAAAGAAGCAGTTCGAGTTCAGAGTTCATCAGAGTTTTCAGTCATGATAGAGTTGAGTCATTAGACTTCTTTTCAGTCTTTACCCAGAATATGAACTGTTTCAAACAAGACGGAACGTGTGATCCCCTCTCATTCACCCCTGTCCTGTCAACCCCCCCCTCCTTTAACACACCTGGTTGCCGTTGTAGGTCCAGGAGCCGAAGGTAAGGTTGCACTGCTGCCAGTCGAAGGGGAAGTAGGAGACGTCCACTACACATGTGCTCTTCGTGATTGCTGGAGAGTCCCAGACGATCTCGCCATTATAACGCAGCTTCACATTAGTGCTTGGTTCACCTGCAGACTCCTCATCTGCTCTGCAGATATACAGAGGCACATTTTAGATGCATGCACTCAATCAGACAAATATATTGCTGCATTATAGAAATACCAGAAACTCTAGTTGCTGTTCAGTCTCTCCATCTTTCTCAATTTGTTTGTCTTCCCTCTTTTATATCTTTCTCTTGTTACTGACTTGTTGTAAAGGACGATGTCTGGCTTCCAAACCAGGTCGCTGGGGATGTTGATCATTTCAAGGTCGTCATACTCCTCCTTGTCCCACTTCAGGTATGCATCATACCAGACCAGCCTGATCCACAGGTATGTGGTTAGCACCTGGTTCCTCTCATCCTACACACACACACACACACACACACACACACACACACACACACACACAAATTTAAATTAAGAGTGACAGATACAACATCAGAGAGGCTATACTTTATACTCCAGTACAATGCTATTCAGTGCTGCCCTCTGCTGGTCTCTACAGGAACAGAAGACTAAACGCAGTACTGTTCATACAGTGAGAGATTCACACATTAAAGGCACACTCTACTGATTTAAACGTCCAGGTAAATTCATCAGTCATTGGAAGTTCTACACGTCTTGTGAAAACCGCCATACGTTGTCTTCTGTGGCTCTGGAGGAGATTTGTTAAGTCTAAAACAAGAATCCGGGTATCTTAGCTTGGGAATGGAGACTACAAACCTGTAACTGAGAGCTTGAGCTGCAAACTGGGAGGATGTTACAAAACAGGCTACAGAGTTGCATAAATGGACCCAAGTATGGGAACCAATGTTTTTGGAGCTTGACTAAAATTCTCAGCTTCTGCTGAATCAATATGACGTTTATGTTATCTTTCTTTTTTAATGTTTGTTCCTTATCAAGGTGGTTCTGTCAGTCTTGCCACTTTTGATATGTGCTGCGTCTCATCTGTAATTCTCTCTACTGCTTAGAGCATCTTCCCCTCAGTGTGATTTGTTTCTTCACCGTATATCTTAATTACTTCATCTTAATATTCCTTATTGTTATTTTCACTCTTATTCTAATGGTTATTCTTTATTGCACACAGCATCAAGGGTAAGCCACCTTGCATTTTACTGCAAAGGTTGTATGAGCATGTGACAAATAAAACCGTTTCAAACTTTGAATCTTGAACAAGAAGTTAGAGGGAAGACGTAAATTACAACAACAGGTCTTGATCTCAGTTATAGGCAGTTATAAACTGAGAAACAGCCACAGATACTTTACAATTCATGTTGTAAAAGACAAACAACAGAAGTTTCAAAGGGGCCAAACATAATTTCTGGGCAAATTTGTATAAAGATGTAGTACTTTTTCCATATGATGTAATGGTGCATGTATATATGTGGTGTCTTAAAGAGGTTAACTGGTATTATGGGTAATGATATGCATTTGAGCTTCCTCTCTACTCACCATATCTTTGATCTGTGACAGGGTGATCTGCAGAGAGACATTGAGGGCTTTGTCTGTGTCCTCTACAGGTCTCAGAGCGTTGGAGTAGTCCTCCATCAGATCATTCAGAAGTTTGCGGGCATAATGACCCTGAGCACCATGGGACACTGAGGGGGTAAGAGGAGATCAGAGGGTGGGCACAACAGCAAAAGTTACAATACGTCAGATGACAGAGCAGAAAACAAGGCAGAGTTGGCTTTGCAAAGAAAAAAACAAACATGTTTATCTGCATCAGTCAGATATAAACGTCAAACAAATCCATCATGCAGAACTGACCTTGCACCAAAAGGCTGATCCAAACCATCAGAGCTGCCTTCCTCATTTTCAACCAGTCACAAGCCGGAGGATCAATTATTCAGCAAAGCAGACGCTGAGACAGCCTGGGTCCAAATCCAGGGTGTCACTTTATTCTGATCTCCATTCTCCCCTGCTGAGGCTGTGTGAGCCGAGACCACAGAAAATTCTCGAAATCTTACATCCTGTCAGAAGCTCTGAATGCTTCACTAGCTGTTAGTCGCAGTTCGCCTCTGTTACTGTGTCTCTGTGTGTGATCGCTGCTCTGGAACAGGACCTCGGGCTATCACACACACACACACACACACACACACACACACACACACACACACACTACAGGTACACTGCAGTATCACATAGCACACAGGCACTGGGAGAAATGTGATGCCTGAAGCCCTATCCACTTGTGTACATGACCACAACCAGCTGTACAACACACACACATACACACACTAAACCTTACTGCGTTACAATGTTAATGACATGTGTCAGTCACACACATACAGTGACACTTTTTTAGCTATGCTCAGGTCATTCAAGATGAACACACACACGTCAGTGAGGATGTGACACATGTCATACATGCTGACAAACTTCACGCAGATTCAGAATCAGGTTTCACCCTGTAAGTAGGAATTTTTAATGTAAGGACAGTAAAGCTGTACACTGGTTGTAGATCAGTTTGTAGGTCCCATACTGGATTGAATCTGTGTTGGTTTGCTTTGGCGTTTGTTCCAGAATTTTTGTTTTGTGTATGTGTGTGTGTGTGTGTGTGTGTGTGTGTGTGTGTGTGTGTGTGTGTGTGTGTGTGTGTGTGTGTGTGTGTGTGTGTATTTGGAAAAATGTGTCATGTTGTTTCATGAAAGGTTATGATCATGGGTTAAAGAAAAATATTTAACCAGTATTATTATTAGAGGAATGCAAAAATGTGCATTTGCAAACTCTAAAGTCTCCACCTGTATACATAAGCATATATTACCCATCAAAATGACAGGGTAACACTTTTGTCACATTTTGTCACATAAAATATAACTCTCTTTACATGCATCAAATCTGTTGTCCAAAGTGACAATAGTGGCTGTTTCAGCTGCTGGGTTCGCCTGTAGGTCCTCAAATGTTTAATAATCACTTAACTTTACAGAGGTTAGAGAAGCCAGTAAACCAAATGGTTAAATTATGAGTAAGTACTCTCTCCTCCCTCAACAAGCACTGTCAAGGGTTCCCCATGAAGGTGGACAACAGTAGAAAAACTGCTGGTTGAGAGTTTGTACATTGTGTTAATATGCATTAACATTGGCATTGGTGGAAATAAAAATCTTAACTCTTAACTTTACTCACAAAAATATAAAAATGTTGCCGTTATGCAGTTACTTTTTAGCTCCTTTTTGACATTGAAAATGATGAACATTAGTTCAGGTTTGAGAATTTAGCTCTATAGAATGGAGATACATATATTTTTAGTTATAAAAAGAATTTGAAAAACAAAAGATCATTCTCATCTACGTCTGCCTATTTCCCCCTTTATAATTTAGTTTGAATCAGTGTTCAGAATAAACTACTTCAAAAGAAGAAGCTGGTCCTTGTAGCTTACAGTAAATCACAAAATTATTGCATCAAACAACATCAGGAAGAAATGTTACTGACATTGTTTTACTCATTCACTGCAGAATACTGCACATGGTGTTAATGTGTCAAAGAGTTTCTGTGGTACTGAGCTCGCATAGGACAGGTGTTTCCTGTGTGTGTCTGCATATGTGTGTCTGCGTATGGGTGTGAGTGTGCGTGTGTGTGTGTGTGTGTGTGTGTGTGTGTGTGTGTGTGTGTGTGTGTGTGTGTGTGTGTGTGTGTGTGTGTGTGTGTGTGTGTGTGTGTGTGTGTGTGTGTGTGTGTGTGTGTGTGTGTGTGCGTGTGTGTGTGTGTCTAAAAAGAAAGAAAATGTGAAATAGTTTCACTGTACCAGAGTAAGAGTCAAAAGTCAAAGAAGAGCTTTTGTAAACCATTTCTGCTTGAAATGTGAGCTTGTGAATAAGAATAATGGCGTATCAGGTGTGTGTGCGTCAGTGTTCTTATGCAGTAAATGGGGGAGAGAGTGGGGGAGCTTCAGTAGGTGAGATAGTGAGAGAAAGACAGAGAGGTACTAAGGACACAGGACAGAAAAAGCAAAGAGCAGTGGTGTAGGAACAGCTGAGGAAGTGTGTGTGTGTGTGTGTGTGTGTGTGTGTGTGTGTGTGTGTGTGTGTGTGTGTGTGTGTGTGTGTGTGTGTGTGTGTGTGTGTGTGTGTGTGTGTGTGTGTGTGTGTGTGTGTGTGTGTGTGTGTGTGTGTGTGTGTGTGTGTGTGTGTGTGTGTGTGTGTGTGTGTGTATAGACAATCCCTCAATAATCAGCAGTGTCTAAAGAACAATGCTCGCCTGCAGTTACAGTAGGGAAAGCATAGGTGTGAATAATAAAATGAATGATGGCTGAATTTGCTTCAGTTTCAGGGTCCTGGTGTTGTGCCTGCAGGCTCACTGTAAGTGGTAGTGTCCATGTCTTACTGGGGAACTTGGAGAGAAAGGAGCCATCATTTATTAGTTCCACGTAGTGCAGTTGCCACTAAGTCAAAATGTCTGCTGTGAAGAAGGGCTGTTACAATGAGGACAGCTATTGTAGGTTGCTCCACAGGCAGAGTAAGAAGTATTGAGAAGAAGAAGAAGAAAGTATTGAGAGATGGATTAACACATAAGTCCCTGGGGAGATTTGTGACAAATCACTAGCCTTATCCTTTAAAGTCAGTTAATTACATAATTTTCTAAGATATACTGTGCATGCAGGAAGTACCAAAAATATTCATTATGTAGAATTTTAGTAAAGCATTATTGGATTATAATTACTGGTGCATTAATGTGTTTATCTCTTAAATGTTGCAGCTGGTAAATGTGGGGCTAATTTTAATTACTTTGTATACTGATGTGTTGCTTGTGATGTTTTCCAAGGGATCAATAAAGTTTTATCTTATCTTAAGCTATATAATAAATTATCATAATTTATTAGTGGAATAAATGCACAAGAATAACATAAATTTGTGTTTGTCAAAGATACGGACTGAAGATTAAGGACTGGATGTTTGACACATTTATTTTTATAATCATATAATATGATATAATATACAGATCTGGATACAGATCCATAAACTTGTATACTAATGGATCTTTCCGGACACAGGTCCTTTTTGTCCAGTGTTAGTTGATTATATTTTGTATTATTAATGTGAATCATCAAAGGAACTTAAGTTATCAAATAGCAGAGTAAAAAGTACAATATTTCCCTTTGAAATGTAGTGAACTACAAGTATCAAGAGTCATAAAATAGAAATACTCAAGTAAAGAACAAGTACCTTAAGTAAATGTACTAAATTACCTTGCACCATTGCAACTGGGGGATTGGTTGATTATCAGGAGAATTAGCTGATTTATGTGTAATAACAGGAAAAATCATGTGTGGCTAATAACATTAATCAAGCCCTGACAATAAGTCAGTATCTACAATACCAGAACCCTGGAACAACAACAGCTAAATGAAATACGGCCATTATTAATGGTATTAGATGCACCTGTGCTCCTCTTTGCTATGAAATGTCAGAATGTCTTCTGTGAAAACAGCCTATTTACCAGCTCATTGGATAACACATCAGAGGCCCCTGAGAAGTAAGTCAGAACAACCGCTACCCGCTGACTGTGAAGTGGCTCCACTTCTGTGTGTGTGTGAGAGAGAGACAGAAGGAGAGAGACAGACAGACAGCGAGAGAGGGATACGGCATTGTGGTAGTTGTGGGAGAGAGAGCAACAATGAGAGATGACAGATCTGGCCACAGCAGGCAGTCAAACAAGCTAAACTCTCAAAGTGTAGCCTTTCTCTTTGTTAGTTGTAACTCAAACATTGCCAACAGTATTACAGACAGTATTTAAACTATTTAAACTATTTGATCATGTGACGATATTATGTATTCTAAGTAGTAAACAGAGCAGTTTTGTGAACGAATGTGTTCTTGGGGCATCTAATGATTTGCCACATACGTCAAATGATAGTCTTTAGTTTCCTACATTTTAAAAGACAACCATAATTTGAGGTTTATTATAGTAAAATTAATATAAAGTACTATTATAGCTACTTAAATGGTTCATCAGTATGCTCTGAGAGGTTTCTAACAAGAGAGACTTTCATAAAGTTCACAAACCATGTTCATGTGATCTGAGAGTCCGGTGTATATGGTGTCTACATGCCTCTGTACTGTGAGTGTGAATGGGTGAGAAACTTAGAAAATTACAGAGTAGCTTAAAGTCGCTGTGTGTTTGCACAAGCTAGACTATAATGTACCTAATGTGTGTGCGTGTGTGTGCTGGGATGTGGTTAGCTGTTTCTCTTCATATCCTTGAAAAGCCTGTATTGTATCTCTCATCCTCAACACAAGAACACCACATAATGTAGAGAAATGTAGAGAAAGAGCGGGAGAAGGCATGAAGGGGGTGGAACAGCTTTTTCCTGGTTGTTGGCTGTTCCTGGTCGTCTTTTTTGCACTTTCATTATCATACATAAAGACTCATGTATGTCACGTTTATGGACTTATAATATATACAGTAGGTACTTGTATATAAGACTGCACTGGTGTGTAATAGATTCTAACAGACAGACCACGTTATGTACTTGTACGGGTCTTAAAACCCCCAAAAATGTGTGATGTTGGGCTAAATAAATGAAACTGACTTGACTTTACTAGTATAGATCCAAAGGTTTAAGGTCATCTGTGATTTAGACTACACAACCTTACATCCCCCTCTCTTATTGTGTTTGTATGTTAGCTATTCTTTGTTCTCACTGACTAAGCTGTCTTTCGCAATCTTTGTCTCTTTGTCTCTGAGATTAAAAGACTGCAACTCTCTCAAACGTGTGATACTACACACACACACACCTAAAAAACAAAAAAAACCACACAGTCTTAAGTCATAGAAAAGTACAAATTAAATTATTTCTATATAAACATTTGATAAAATGTGTTTCACAATTAGGTTTGGCAAATGGTAGTTTAGCCTATACCGCTAATGTTTTGATATTACATACAGAAAATCTGTTTTAAAGTGGACATAATAAGACAAAACATACAAAGCAGACCAGATGTTCACATACAAAGTGCATAAATTATACCTTTAACAGTGTATATTCTTATAGTTTATTTGAGAAGGTGTATTTGACGTACTATACTAAGGCAGAAAAGGGTGCACTCATGATGAACGCAAACTTTAAAAAGAT